CAATAACATATTACACCTTAGCAGCATGTTTTTAAAGGACACAAATGCACAAGATTTGCACTTTTTTAACTATGAAAGGATTTCAATATAAAATGGAACCAGAGATGGGTAGTACAGGGGTTAAAGCCTTAGTGCCATCAAGCTATCACCATCCCCTGAGGCCTTAGTTAGAACCCAGGCCAGGGATCTAACCCATGTGACACAGACCTCTGTCACCCCGCTGCGCCCTCAGCCCAGTATTTCAGTCAATTGGTCTGTTCCCCACTCTGTCTCTGGTGAATCCTCTCACCACCCTCCCCCACCACAACTCTGCCCTACACCCCAGTTCTTTTATGCATAAATAATCTTTTTTAAAAATGGAACCAATGGATATGAGATGAACAATTTCATGCATATGCCCTCAGAAAAATGAAACTAAGAACAAATGCCTGTTTTACAGGTGAACTTCAGACAAGAACCTCTCCCCAAATCATGCGTTAAGCTTACTGCTTTGGACTCTAGTTGGGCCTTCCCCTCCACATATTCTTTGCCCAAACAAAACCCTCCAAACCTTTCAAGGGACTCACCTATAATTCGTTACAGTATGGGTTTTCCAAATTACAATTCCCCTGTTATTCCTGATTATATTCAATTTCTGGTCATTGGAGCTTACCCCTAGCTACTTCTTTATCTAGGCTTATACAACCTGATGTCAAGTAGTGTTGACATCAGAGAATGTGTAGGTTGGTCTCATTTGAAAAGATGAAGATGCAGGGGTCCTTGAAGATAAACACAACTCTTGATAAACACAATGCTTCCATTGACCCCAACACATTATTCCTTGGGCTTGGGGAGGAACCCCAGGCTTTTGGCCACAGCTGTTCTATCCTAAGACCCTGGTCTATATGACTAAATCAAATTTCAAGTATAATGCAACTGTAGAGAGGAAAATCCATTTTGCAACGTTTGGATTTTATCCTTTCACGATGAAGTTAAGCAACAACTGTGTAAAAGATCACTTTATACACCTCAAAGGTAGAAAAGAGATCGGGGAGACCAGTAGGGCAAAGGAGGAGGTGGTGTCAAGATCCAGAACACCAAGAAAGGTGGCCCTCAGAGTCACGTGTTGAGTGAGGTGTATAAAGTGTACTGGTTTTGAAATCACAGTGGGATTCAAACCCGTTTAGCCACTCTACGTTTTGCACCATTACTGGACCCTAGTTGTCTCATCAGCAACTATGTGGTCACAACCAGAAACTGTTCTATGGGTTCCAGTTCAAAGTGCTATTTTCAAAGCAGATGCGCCAGACTGTTACTACGATCACCGGGAGGTCATGAAGGGGATGCACTGGCCACAACGAACATTAAAAGTTGGGGTACATGACCGCAAGTGGCTTGAGCCTACAAGTTTCTCCCTCACAGACGTTTAAGTACAGCCCCTCGACTTCCCTCCTTTGATCTCTGCTCCACTCTCAAGAAGCCACTGACTCAAGGAAAAGGAAAACTGCAGGATCACAAGGAAATGATACACTTTCTCGTTCTTGCTGGGAAGTCCCAAAACCAGCGCTTCTTCAAAGGCTGCTGCTTCACCAGCGCAGCGGCAGCCCCAGGGGCTCACGCGCGCACATGCGGACTTTGCCCCATTGCACTCACCCTAAAACTGCCTTCAGGCTCGCGAAGGCACAAAGTGCTGAGTCACGGGGAGGCGGCCCCGCGCGCCGGGGCGGGCCCGGCGCAGTCACGTGGCGGGGGCTGTACCACAACAACGGCGCGGCGTGCAGCGCCCGGCCCGCGCCGCTTCCTCCCGCGATCCGCCCTCGGAGCATGCTCAGCTCGCCACGCCGTGGCGAGGCGTCCTCGGCGGCTGCACACCCAGGTTCGTGTTTTCCAGGCGACCCAGGAGGCGGGGCTCGTGGCGGTCCCGGCTGCTGGGAGGGCGGCTGGCGGGATTCCGCCAGTCCCCGGCCGGGGGTGGGTTTGGCCGAGTATTCTTACTGGGAATTAGGTGGGGAATCCGGGTTTTGGCAAGGCCTTGGGAAGAACTGGTGCTGCTAGATATGAACACTTTCTTTTCTCCCTTTAGCTTTCGATGAAGCCCCAAAAGGTGTCTACGGGGCTGTCCGATGAAAAACGCTCCCGGAAGTCGAAATCCACCCTTGGGTACCAACTACGGCATGGAATTGAGTTGTCCTTAAAATGCATGGTCGCTTGGAGGGGGTGCTGGTGGTTCAGTTCGCTTTCGCTGATCGGTGGTGCATTACCAGCCTCCACCCCCACCCCACCCCCCACTCCCCAACTGTCAATAACAATTGTGAAAGAAAGGCTCTGTGGTGGCCCAGTTTTAATTTGACTTAATTTCCTGGTGGTGCCGCCACACTGCATCCGATTTGGGATTGTCCAAACTCCAGGGATTTTCTTGTGCGAATTCGGGAGTAGAGTGAAAGAGGGACCCTTATCAATGTAACCGAAATCTGGGGCCGAGTAATTCAAATTACAGTATTAACTCTCCCTTCTTTCATAGAAGTTTGCCTAGACTCGAACTTAATCTCTTCTCGAGCTTCTCATATCCCTGTTTCCTTGTTAAAACTGACACTCCCAAGACCAGCTACTTGGTACAGTGAGGAAATGCAAGTGTGTGAGGGAATTTTGGGCTTTATGAAATGTGAAGCTGTCCGTTGAAGCAGTAAAGACTGCTTCAATGCAGTGGTGTCAAGGATGTAATCTTAAATGTTCCATGAGCCACCTCTACACCAAAAAGGAAACCGCTGAATTAAAACTTAAGCTCTAAAATGCCCCTTAACTTATCCCAAATACTATTATATCCACATGTAACCAATATATAAAGTTACTGAGATATTCACCTTTTTTGTTATGTCTTTGAATCTGGTATGTGTGTCACACACAGGACATCTCCTAAGTCAATAAATTTTCATTGGAAGTATTTATTCTAGATTTCATAAAGTTCAGAAATTCCCAAACTTTTCTGAATGTACTTGAAATTGTCCAATAATCGAATGGCATATCAATTTTTAAATTTGTGTTTAAGTGAATTAAAATAATTCAAAATTCAGTTTGTCAGTCAGTTAGCCACACTTTCTCAAATGCTCAGTAGCCACTGCCTGATGATGATGATTGTGTAAAGCAACACAAGTGGTTGCAAATATGAGATAAGATTAACAAAATAGCCATTTGGATTCCCCCACCTTCATGTGAAACAATGAGCAATGCTGTTTTCCCCTCTTCACAAGATGCCTTTCACAGGAAGCTAACATACAAAGGACTATTCCAGAATTAAAGACTCAAAAGGCAGAAATCATGTCTATTTCAAAGGAAGTCACTTGTGGAGGGTTTTGTTGTTGATTAATGACTCTATCATAATATATGAACAGACATGTAAAAATGCAGCCAAAATACAGAGAGGGAGGGGTAACTGGGACTCAAAAGATAAACAGGAATATGTCAGGTGGAGAATACCAAGCAAAGGAAGCTCCAGAAAACCAGGTCTATACAGGCCAGGTGAGATTAGTGGGAAAGGTACAAGGAAGAGTTGAAACAGTAGCTCAGTTGTTGGCAAGCAGTTGACAGGTTAGAATGAGGCTTAGTTTTTATCCTGTGTGCTAAAGATTGAAACATCTGAACTTAAAATTCCCTGCCCTTCCCCATACATACTCACGTTCCCCTGCAGAAAGCATTGCCAGACCCTGGGTTTCCATGTCCCTAAGTACTGAGATGAATTGTCCAATTTGAATGGTCCTACTGTCATATATACTTAGCAGTTACTGCATACTCACTAAATGTTAATTTTGTAGTATGTGGGAAATTGGTATAATAAGAATACACATTCTGGCCTCCATACATGTATAACCTAGTTGCTGTCACTTCCCCCAATCTGTCATTGCTCTGTTAACACAACATTTATTGAACAAACACTTGGGGGTAAAGTACTTATTACCTTTCTTGCCAAGATAGGGTCAACAGCCCCAGTTGTTTCTAGTATCTATCCCCCTGGCAAATTTACATGCATTATTTTGATCACTTAATGGACGAATCATAGGTTTAGCTGGAGGATAAACTTAGAGATGATTCTTTCAAATTATCTGGGGGTGTTGACAAATGACTGGCACATTTGCTTTATCGCAATGACTGTTGCCTATACAAACAAAAAACTTGTCATCAGAGAATACAAAAATACTTATGGACATATATGTCTAAAAACTTGCAGGCAAATTGATTCCTAATAGTGGTTTATTTATTGAACCATTAACTTTATGCACATCTACATTGTACACATCCTTACTATGTCCATAAAAAACAACTTTATGCAGCGGTGAAAATAATTGGCCCAAGCTCTTAGTCAATGAGTGACAGAGAGTAAAATTGAACAGGAGTTCAATCCGATTCCCAAGCGAATGTTTTTCTTGCCATACCTGGCTGCCCTCACCCTGATGGTTTTTGATTTGTTGTTTGTTTTTGAGATTTTTTTTAAATTCAACTATCATTACTTTACAATACTATATATGATTTAGGGGAATAGGTTCACACCTGTTCAAATCTATTTTATCCTATTTTTATAAGTCAGGCCCTTTCCCAGGGCATGCTCGGTGGTCGCGCAGGTTTTGGTCACAAGTAGGAAGAAGCCAGTGTGCGACACCAGCAGAGAGAAGCGGGACCCGCCGCTTCCGCAGCTCCGCTGTGGGGTCCGGCGCCGCTGACTCGGAGCAGGAGTGGGGCAGAAGCCTTTCACTGAGGAAAGAAAATCCGATGGGCTTGTTACTAACGCTAATCAAATTTCTTCTCCAACAAAGAATTTGCCTATTTAGGTTTGGGAACTGGATATTTACATAGCTCAACCGCTTAAGCGAGCAGCTGGCCCATTCCCCCACCCCGCCGCGAGCTCCGCCCCCTGATTCCGCCCTAACCACGCCTGCGCATCCCTTCTCCACAAGCCCCTTCGAGTCTGTCAGGCCTCGCCACGCCCCCTCCGCTGCACCGCCTCCTTTCCCCGCCCCCGCACGTAATATATAAAACCCGGAGCCACGGATCCTGCTCAGGACCGGCGAGTGAGCGGCCCGAAGGACTGGGCATGCTCGGTGGCCGCGCAGGTTTTGGTCACAAGTAGGAAGAAGCCAGTGCACGACACCGGCAAAGAGAAGCGGGACTCTCCGCTGCCGCACCTCGGCTGTGGGGTCCAGCACCGCTGCCTCGGAGCAGGAGTGGGGCAGAAGCCGGCGAGGGCTAGAGGCCACGCCACTGGGCCGACAACCGCTTGGCTTCCCGTTCGGTCCTCTGCCTCTGTCTGCGCGGTGCGCCGGACCCGTGGGTCGGTTTCCCGGGTGGCAAGGACCCCGCAGCGGGGAGCCGGGGCGGACGGGACCCTCCTCTACCGGCGGTGACCCGAGAGCGCCCTCCCGGGGCTGCCACCCCCGCCGCCTTTGGGCAGCTAAGTGTCCCAGTCGCGCCCAACACCCGGAGCTAGCGGCGCCGGCAGCCGTAGGAGGAGGAGGGGGCGGCCATGGGGCTGCTGTCCCAGGGCTCGCCGCTGAGCTGGGAGGAGACCAAGCGCCACGCCGACCACGTGCGGCGGCACGGGATCCTCCAGTTCCTGCACATCTACCACGCCGTCAAGGACCGGCACAAGGACGTGCTCAAGTGGGGCGATGAGGTGAGCGCCAGCGGCCCCCGCCCCTCTGGGAGCCTGGTCAGGCCGCCTCGCGCCGCCTTTGTTCGCCAAGGCGGGACCCCCGCTCCCAGCCCCGAGACCTCATCGCTGTTCACGTTGTGCACTGCGCCGGATGGTCCCCGGGCGCCTCCCCGCCCCATGCGCCTTCCCGCCCCATGCGCCTTCCCTGTCCTTGCCCTGCGGGCGTCCAAGGTACCGGGGCGAACATTACGGCCAGACTTCTCTCGCTTTTCATTCATTCGGGTTTTTCCCTTCATTCAGCAAATGCAGACTGGGCAGGGAAGGGCGTGAGTATGAAAGTGTGACATTTGTGCCTGGGCGAGTTTTCAGTCTGCCCGCCGCGTATTAGGTTCCTCCGTTACTTAAAATGAGCCTTTTGCGAAGAACAGAAAGAGGGGAAGTTGCCCTGAAAGGCCCATTGCTACTAAAGGTATTCAGGTTGTTGGCTTCTGCCTCATTTCGGGTACCTTTTAAACCTCCAACTTCTTCCCATCAGCCTCCCACCAACAAATCTTTGAAGTATAGTTTGAAATAGATTAGGCTGTTTTCCTAAAGGGAAGGAACCTTCCTGATCCTGTTTACTTCCTAATGGGAACACTTAGAAATTCAATATTAGGATTTGTTAGTGACCTTCCATGGCCTGGGTCCAGCACCTAAACTCTACACATCAGTGCTTCAACATGTGTTCTGCTTAAAGGTGAAATGGTAATAGATTCTTTGTATGGGAAGCCACTGATTCTTGGAATAGTCTGAAAAGCACTAATTCTTGTTTGATTTAAAGTCTTTTCCATCAGTTTTTCTGTCCTCTCTTCCGATTTTCAAAAATCAAACATACGTGGTTTAACCAGTTAGATGGCTTCCTGAAAAGTCCTTCTCTGTTTATCCTTTGCCCTCCATGACTTGCTACAGGTGCAAATAATTTGTTTATCTTGGTCCTTGTTACCTGGCTTGACCTCAGGGTCCAGGTGCTGTTGTGCCAACACAGAATTTCCTGTCCTCTACAAAAGTTAGTGTTGCTAAGGTTGTTAGTTCATTCTGCTTCTTAACAGTTGAAGGAATTGGCCCTGTTTAATATTGGGAAAGTAGAATGACTGGCAAATTACTATTCCTACTATAAGTGACTAGTTATATTTTGGACAGAAAAGGGTTACAATATATGGTGATAATTCTGTTTTTAGTGTAAAGTTCATTGTTTTACAGCATCTGACATTTTACATGATCATTTCAGTATAGCGTATCTTCTAGCCCAAGGATTTTTTTTTCTCCCATACCTTTCTTTGCTCCACCCTCCCTACCTAATAAACCAGTATCCTTTGGAGTGGTGAGTTTACTCTTTAACAGAAACCACAAAGTTAGAAAAGTTACCTTACATGTAAAACAGTAACCTGCTCTTTTATTATTTCAAATTCTGCTTCAGTCATGTCTCATGATTACACATGCACACACACACACGAGCACACACACTCAATACACACTCACTCACTATTTTTGTTTCCTGCAGTGACACTTCACTAAAATCTTAATCTCTCATTCTTGATCTATGGGATGCAGGTATTAACTCTCCATTGTACTCTACATCTCTTTATATCTTATGGCAGAGGTATGACATTTCAGTGGGGAGAGTGGGGTCTTACACCTAAGTATTTGTTGATGGCTTAATTTCTCTAGCATCACATGAGAGGAATCACTCATTTATGTCATAAAGCATTAGTAGATTGAGAAATTGAGAAGGTTTTTGAAGTCTAAAGTTCATTGTTTCTTTACAGCATCTGACTTTTTTGTGTGTATTGTAATTATTTTATGTTCTGTTCCCTAGAATTTTTTACTCTAGGATGTTTTAAGAAATAGAATAGGATGAGGAATATAATTTTACACATAGTAAGAAGATTATGTCAAACTTTGAAGTTAGTTATTTTAGGGTATCTGCGAGGAACCATGTATGTGACATAAAAACAATTTCATAACTGTGGTTCACAGTTAATGGAGTTTGAAAGCCAGAGTCTCAAATTTATCGTGGACATCTTTCTTGTTGAAGTGAGCCTCTGAAAAAAAGCAGGAGGGAAGTTAACTGCTCCAGTATTAGCACGAACCCCATGCATACAGTGGGAACTCACTCAGCGTACCCATTAACAAATCTATCATAGGATCAGGCAAGACTTGTAAGCTGTTTGTATGTAGAAACCTTGAGAAATAACTGGGAAACAGGCTGGGCAGATAAAAGTAGAGAAGGGTGTGGTGGGTGGTGTGGTGCTAGAGATGAAGAGTGACCTTGCCAGGGAGAAAGTGATGTTTTGGATACGATAGGGTGGACTCAATTGGCCTGACACCAAAATGCTACTGTTTGTGGGAAGTTGGGGGTTTTACTTACAGAGTCATGGGCTTGGATTGTAAAAGGAAAAATAGTGAGCCCTAAAACCATGGCCATAGGTAACACTGGGAGAAGATCCTTCTGCTTTAGAAGTGCCCAGCCTGTTCATTGGTTAGTGTTTCACATCAAAAGATCCTAGTTTGGGGCTGCTCCCACATGCTCCAAGGTCTGCCAGGCTTCCTGTGTGACTGGGAGCTTCAGTTTCCTCATCTAGAAAGTGAAAAGGTTGGACTCTCTCTCTGAGGGTTGGAGTCTCTCTCTGACTCTGTCTAGTTTTTATAGTTTGCTTACAGTTTGATTTGATTTTTAAATAATGTACATATTTCAAACAGGTTGTTACTCTTTGAAATTCACTTTAAGGTACTCTTTAGACTGCCAGGTTAGAAAAGACTACCACAAAATGCTGCAGTAAAAATGGGTTGTATTGTAATGAGTGTACTTGCTCTATGGAGCTCAACAGGAATCTTAGTTTACGCTTGCATGATTTACCATTAGGGTGCAGGTCCTGACCTTAGTCACCATTTATTATGTTTTTTTCAGGGAAATAAAAGTTGTAAGTCCTGGGTGTCAGAAAAATACTTCACTTGCCTGAGGGTAGAGGGAAGGGGATGTGGAAAAAAAGATATTCCTGGGTGTTCTTTTGGCTGATACACAGTCTAGTGATGCAAAAAATTAAATACTTAACAGTTCACATGGGTTTTGTTTATAATTTGGGATGGTAGACATTAAAAGAGAGACCTAGGAAGTAAATGTAATGATAAATACTAGCTTGTGTTGTTTTTCTAATAATTATTCTAGCTTTAATGACTGCCAACCCTTTTCATTTATTTAGTGCCAGAGACGCTATCAGATGTGAAATCTGTCAGACTCCAGGCCTATTTCTTAGCACATCATACCAGGTTTTGTATTATTTACTGTGCATGAGATTTTATCAAATTTCCTTTTGCAGAGTTCAAACTTTACAGGTTGTAGACTTGTCAGAAAAATAACATTTAAAAGCAAACGTATACTTTTCTAATTTTGTAACACTCAGTATAGTGGCTCTCAAAGCTAAGAAAGTAAATTGGTCTCCAATTAGCAGAAAAGTCCATGTGACCTTTGAGAAGGAATTTTTTTAAATATATGAGTGAGTTCTTATGCATAAAGCCAGTAAAACAAAATGGACTTTACTAAGGGCTGTTACATCATCCTTTGGGTTTGAACAGTGAACATTTGCTTCTGTAAGTTAAGAATACTTACATGATTATTTAGAAAATGTACAGCTTTCTAAAGAACAAGATTATGATCCTAAAACAAAAATCATACAATCCGAGCTCTAAGTCTACAATGGACAAAAATGTAATGCTTCAAAATCTAATGGAAGGCTCTGTATAGCTTGGGACAAATGGCGTAATCTCACTGAAGCTCAGGTCTGTTCTCTATGAAGTAGGAATAATAATGCCTTCTTTATAGAGTTATTAAGATTAAATGAGATATAGGTAAAATAGTTTTCACATAAGTAGCTAAATATTTTTAAGTAGACTCACATGGTAGCTTAAGTGGTCTACTTGGAAATTTTAAAATATTCCATCTGTGTTTAAGTAGCCATGGTTATTAGGGAATAGATATTCTTTATATTCATGCCAAAGCGAAGCAGCTTTCAGGTGATTCTTATTCTGCAGACACCCTTGAGAAGTGGCCTTAAAGAATGTGTGGCTGTTAATTAGATAAAAAGGAAAAGGGAAGTCATCCTGGGCAAAAGAGCAGTGTAGTAAAAATGGAAAGGTGAGAATAGCATTGATGTGTGAAGGTTACATATACTTTGGTGTTGGAAGTGTGGTGCCTGGTATGTTAAAGGTCTTTATACAAGGTGGATAAGTAGAGGCTTTCTATACTTTAAAAAGTCTGTAGAGGGCCCTCCCTGGTGGTGCAGCACAGCACTATGGAACTGTCTGCAGTCACTGCAGCATGAGTTCGTTCCCTGGAGCTGACCCACCTGGTACAGCAGACCTCTCCTGTCTCATCTGCTGCTCCCCTCAGCACTGTATTTCAGTCAATCTGTCTGTTCTGCTCTCCATTTTGTCTTTGATAAATCCTCTCACCCCCCCCCCCATTTCTGGCCTGTACCTCAGGTCTTGTCTGCATAAATAAATAAATCTTTTAAAAAAATAGCTTGTAGAAAATAAAATAGTTTTAATACTTTTGTACAGATGGGGCCTCTAACAAATTGTTTCTGATCTTATGAACCAGTTATATAGCTGTCCACATCACTGTTGAATGCCTTTGTGTAAAGGAATGTGTAAACTGCCACTTCTAATCATACCACCTCATCTAGAAGTGATCTTAGCAAATGTACTTACTAGCATTCTGTGCATTGCTTCATTTAGAAGTATAAACCTAGGTAAAGTTCAGCTTAGTCTATATTTTATGAGAAAGATATCAATATTACTTGAGCCTGTAACAACAGAATTTGTTTCTGAACATTTTTAGGAACTTGTGGGTCTGCATGTATTTGTTAGTTAGAAAACAGTACATGGGGTATTAGTGTTATTTTTGGTGTTACTGGATGATTATTCTAGTGAGAACAAAAAATCTTTTTACATTCATGATTTAACCAAGTTTTAAAATTTTTTTG